TTTCGTTTTTTTCAAAAAAGAAAAAAAAAGGGTTGAGGAAAATAGGTAATACAAATGTTCTTATTCAGGAATCCATCTAGAAGATTTAAAGGAAAAAAAAATTTTTTTTCGCAAGCATCACATTTTAATTGGCGGTAAAATTATTTCAAAGGTTGCGCGCTAACCAATAACGCTAAAAACCATACACCGATCAATTACATTTCCCAAAACTGAAGACATGACTAAAAATTTCCATACTTAATCCTTCATGAGTTACTATTATTATCAATCTAATCAATCAATTAGGAGGAAAGAGAATAAAGCGGAAAAATTATTAAATCCTACTCTCGTTGCTTCATACCAAAAAAAGTGAATTTCCTTTTCGTTGACAAAGCATCAATTTACAAACAAAGATCGGAGAAATTCCGTTATTGAACCATGAACACGTTTTTTTCGATTTTTTTTTTTTTTTTTTTTTGGGAAGATTAGATAAAATCTCCTTTGTTTTTTTTCAAATAAAATAACTTTAAATTTGTGTTATACACGAGGAAATTGTAAACACGAGGAAAGATTTTAATTTCAATCCATAAAGAAAAGGTGAGTTACTTTATTTGTAAAAATTTTGACTCAGTATCGAATCATTTGGGTTTTTTTTTTAAAAAAAAAAAAAACTCATCAGCAAAAAAATTCATGCAAAACATCAACAAAAAAAAAAAATTTAATGAATTGTTTATTCAATTAATGAAATGGAATATATTTTATTTTTATTTTTTTTAATTTTTGTCAGAGGGATAACGAAATTCGACAATACGTTTCAGAGAACCCAACCAATAGTTCCGATGATTTAATAATAACAATACCAATAATACCCTTTGTAAAAATCAAACAAAGTTACTAATACGCATGTAGCACACAAGAGATATTTGACAAACAAGTTTTTCTTTTCGCCAAATAAAAAAAAAATTAAATGAACATTTTTTTTTCTTAACGGCAGATTTGCAATTTCCTTTTTTGTGGTTAATACACGAGCAGGGGAAGGAAGGAAGGGATCCAATTAGTGTTAATTAGGAATAATTAAAATCAGTTAATTCTTTTTTTTTAAAAAAAAAAAAAAAAAAGGTCCGAGAATACACCATACAGTATCTTCGGTGGTAGGCGATTCTAATCCTTATCTACGAAATCAGTAATTCTTTTGTTAAGTCGGGCAAAGAGGATTGATTGTTCTATTCATTCATTGTACAACATGATGAAGATGATGAAACAAATTCGGCGACGAAGAAAATTGAAAAATGCATTGAATCGTCTTGTCAAAATACTCGGTATATTTATACTAATATTCACATTCACCTTTAAATCAAGTTCGTTATCAAGTTTTCCTTTGGCAAAAGATTTTGAGGAACAAGGCAAAAAAAAGTTAATCTGGAAGATTGTTAAAAAAAATGAGGCGGACCGTTCCGAAATATATCAGTCATTTTCACACACGTTTAGAAAAAATTTTTCATAAACTAAATTAGGATAAATTGGTGTTTTAAGTGGTAGATAAATAAAAAAACAAGTTATGTAATTGAAGGTAATGGTTAAATTTTATTTGTCAAAGAGGCATAAATAATCCAAAGTAATCGATTTGCCAAAAGGAAAAAATAATATTTGGTGAGATAAAAAAAAAAGAGATGTAACAGAAAAAATTTTCATGTGCTTTGACACCAGCATTAAAAAAAAAATAACATACTTGTTCATTTTATTATTATTGTTAATTTTTAATAAACAAGCCATAAATTTCAAAAGCCCAATGAATGATGAATGGTAAAGGCTTATTTGTTGATCTCCTTTCGCCGAGTTGACCTCTTTTTTTTTTCGAATAAAGAAATAAAGAGCAATGGCGGTGGTTTCATTTTTTACCATATTAATATTTAAATACACAACAAAAAAAAAAAATTTTTTCTTTTCGATTATTTAATTGTTTTTCGATGGTGATTTGTTCATTGTTGGAAATAAATGTTCAATATTTTCTCAATATTTTTTAGGCATCCGAAAATAGAATATTCAAAAAAATAAATATTTCAAATGATTGTGCATCCAAGTAATATTGACAATGGAATAAGAATATGGTGAGATGTGATATATGTAAATTCTAAACTTGGAATTAATCAACGTGTCAAGCAATAAAAAGATGAGAAATATTTTTTTTAAAAAATCAATATATTAAAATCCATTGTTTAGTACTTTATAAGAATAAATTAAAAGTTAACCCTGGTGGTCAGGAGAAAATCTCTTGGTATTTCAAACGAACATCATACGAAAATCGGTTTTACCATGTGGACGTTCACAGCAAAGGACAACCATTTTAATACTAATGGATCGTCATCAGTCGTCATCCATTGAATCCATTGACCAGTAAAATCAATCGACTGTCAAATATGTTTGTTTCACCACTTTAATAAACTCAAGTCTTGTGATTGAAAAAAGTGTGCAAGTAACTGATGTGTCAATATTTATCTTTCCCCAAAGAAAATTGGTGGAAGGAAAAAAAAAATTTAAGCATGTTTCAAGTAGATTAATTAGGAAAACGAAAATATTCTCATATTTCGAAATCATCCATCACTTCACAACACGCACAAAGTTACCTTTAACGGAGATTACACAATCACTCTATTAGATAATATCACTCATACTTATTCATCCTTGAACATGTGCATTACACCACAAAAATTATTGTTTGTTTGATACAAATTTCATCCAAGAAAAAATAATAATTTTTCCAAAGATTTGTTCACAGAGGGTGAGTGTATATTTTTAGTTAACCACTTTCCAAAAAGGTGAGCAGGTTTGAAAACGGGATATCTCTTTTGGTCATGAATCGATTGAGGAAATGTGTTGCGACAATCCACCCCAATATGTAAATGGATAGGGTTGTGATTATATTGTTTTTGTTTATGATTATTTTCCGCAGTTGGACGGACTTTACGAAGATTCTTCCATATTACCAGATTTTATACCAGAAACAATACAATGATGAATAGATAGATATCTGCCACCAAACGGAAACTGGTTTGAACATTTACTCAGCTTTTCATTTTCCCCCACATTTTAGTGGTTCAGTTTTTGAGGAGGCGGTAAACTCGGGCAATGCATGAGGGGAGGGGGGTTGAATGAATGAATGTATGATAACATATTCATATATCTCACTTTTTTTCGCCCCCCGGAGTATATTTTTGAACATATATATCGTTCAATAATTATTCAACTAATAACTGATGCAAATAAATAATTGTATTATTATTATTTATGTGTAATACAGTAAGATTTACGTACTGTTTATTTTTATACATCTTTGTGACTGTTTTTTTAATAAAGTTTTTCCTGTGACAAACCAACCTTTTTTTTTTTTGAACGACTATGATTATTTAAAACAAATTTTGATAAAATAGCCGTAATGTTAAAAGGTCAACAATAAGACCTTTTTTTTTGATTTATGGGAATAAAAAAAAAAATATTTTTATTATATATATTTTTTTTTTTTATACTTCAAATATTTTTTGCTTTACTTAAATTGGGATAAACCCAGATAATTTATATTCAACCGCCTTTGTTGCCTGTTCTGGTAGAAATTCGTAAGATGTCTTACTTCCTCATTATTTTGACTCATGATATATAAAAGCTTCAAGATTTATGCTTGGTCTGAACTTTCCAACGTCGTGATCATTCTTCTCTCTCCTTTTTTTTTTTTTTTTTTCCTTCCCAACTTTTTTTTACACACATATATAATAAACATCTTTTTACCCAACAAAAATATTTTTTAATCAACTTTTGCTAAAACGAAAAATAATTTTTTTTTCAGCGCAAGCGCCTTTTTTTTTTTCTTTTTATATACAAATATACACTTAACATATCAAACTTTGTTTGTTGTCTCCTCCCTTTACATTTCGTAACGAAGTTACTTAAACCAACTTTGCAACTCTATTTCTTTCACGTAACTATCAAAAAGTCCTTTTTTACTTTTTTCCGTTTGAACCTCATTTCCTTTTTTTTTGTTCCATTACTTTTTTTTACGCTCGCTTTGTTCTTTTGGTCTTTTGGCCGCGCCTTACTGACGAAATCTTTTTGTTGTTTTTTTTTATTTCGTTTCTAAAAATATAGGAAATTTTTTCAACCTCCCTAATCAGTAAAGGAAAACCTTCTTGGAAAGCAAGCAAACCAAGCTCTTGTTTACTTCTTAATGACACGACGTTATATTCAATAATTTATTAGATTTTATATGGTGTGATCGTAATCAAAATCTTGTAAAATTAATTATATATTTCAATTCCTTGTCCTCGTATCTTCGCGTCAGACTTTTTTAATTCGGTAAGTTTATTTTTTTGACGATTTTTGTGGTTCATCCATCCATCTTTCCATCCTTCCAATGGTCTGACATAATGCTCAACCATTTGAACTAAAAAAAACCGGTTTATTTTTCTAATACTGACCTCTCTTATTCATTTATTTATGCACTTATTTTATCTATATCTTTTCTCTCATCATCATATAATAATAACAAATCATTCCATTTTGATCTTCCTACTTTTTCATGTTGATACTATTTTTCACCTTATACATCACATCCAACATATCCACTATAAACTATAAACTTTCTCACACTATCATATAATTTATATAATATAATAATTACACGTTTTTTTTCAATCCTTCCTTTTAATAACCCTTTTAATAACCCTTTTATTTTAACTTTTCTAGACTTTTTTTTTTAAAAAAAAAAACCTCTTTTTTTCCTTTCCTATTCAAACTTTTTATATTAAAAAAAAGTAAAGCTTCTTTTTTTTTTTTCTTTTTCTGAACTCGTTTCGAACTTTTTTTTGTTTCTCCTTTTTTTTTTCTTTCCTTTTTTTTTGGTTAAAAAATAATACTCTTTTTGTTATTTTTGGAACCAAAAAAAAAATTTTTTATTTCCATATTTCTCCTTTATATAGCAGTTTATTATCGATCGCCCTTTACTATTTTTTTTTTCCTTCCTGTCGGACAGTATGACTACTACCGCCGCTATCATTCCACATGAAGTAAAAACTTCTGTTGAAGAGCAAAATTATCCTTTTAAACCAAATTGTGGTCCACGTTTGCCTATATATTCCAACCTGAGTGACTCGGCTCAACAATTTGAACAAAACATGGTTTGGGAACCTCTTGGAGCTGAAAAATCTTTTGACTTGAACAATTATATCAGTTATGCAAGATTTTCAAATTTCTCTTGCGAACCCTCTTATTTCACCGTTTCCTCAAGACAATACAACACCAATCCTCTTGCAAATTCACGTTACTATGATCATCTCGTTAACGGTGGAGGTTCCTTCAATGGTGGAAGTGGCACAAAGTTGAATGGTTGTACAACCAACATCGAAAATGAAAGTTTGGCTCCGCAAAAACAAGGTCAAATTTACAACATCATGCCCAAGCTTCCTCCTTCCTCTTCGGCTTGGTCTTCATTTGAAGATTTAAACACTCCAACAACTGCAACCACGAACTCTACCGCCACCTCCCGTTGTTCAACGCCTGCCAATAATTCCGGGTTATCTTTCAATGAACAAATCAAATTGGAACCCTTCGTGGCGCAGCAACATAAGGATGTTCTGAATCCCACTCCACTCAAGTCTCGTCCCCCTTTCCAAGATTTAACCACTATTAAGAAACGCATTTCGGTGACCGACTTGTCTCCGAGTCTTCGTGGAAATGGTGTTCAAGCTTTTGATAATAAAGGTTGTAGCAATAATGGTGCCGTCAACGCCAACAATAATCAGCAACACACCAAGATTCGACGTAGCAGTAATACTACAATCATGTCTAACGCTACCGTAATGTCTGACACGACTTCTGAGCAATCAGATAAGTCTACCGCCATTGAATCAGAGAAAGAACAAAAGAAGGCAACCTTATATAAAACTGAAATGTGTCGAAATTGGGAAGAACGAGGTTCTTGTCGGTAAGTTTCAAACTTTGATCTTTTCATTCCCTTTTTTTTTTTAAAAAAAAATAGAGATCACCTTTTTCCTAACCTTAATCACGTTTACGATTGTTATTAGGTATGGTTCGAAGTGTCAATTCGCACATTCGACCAATGAATTACGCATAGTTCAACATCATCCAAAATACAAGACCGAGATCTGCAACACATTTTGGCAGAATGGAACTTGTCCTTACGGCAAGCGATGTTGTTTCATCCATAATGATCAGGAACGACTCCTCCTTTGCAAGAGACGAAACAGTGCCGATAATTTGAAGAATTCAAGTAAAAAGGAAAAGTCCAAGGGATTAAGCAAATTCGGAAGTGATTCGGCTCTTTACGGTTCTTACTTAAGCGATTCGTCAAATTCTTCAAATGGTGCCCAAATTCCATCAACACCTTCAATGAGTCCAAGTGAAACAACACCATCATCTTCCTCAAATGATGATTCACTTCGAGCCTTTGCGGATGCTTATTTCTCACCCAGTCACAACACTTCCATGCCATCCGAAACCATTGATTCAAACAAATCTTCACCATCAACCATTCGTGACGATGACATCACGGCTTCATCCAATCCAAGCCCCATCAAAACACCGTCAAAAAAGAGAAACACAAACTTTCCATGTACAGGTGTTCTCGGATTCAGAAATCAACTTAATGATGAGAACGATGAAATCTCTGCTTTCGTTGATGACCCGTTGATGTCGAGTGCTTTTTTGAACGATGCAATGGATGACGGAGCAAAATCTCTTGTAAATTTTGGTGCTTTTCCAAATGATTTGTTCTCAAGAGTTGAAAAGAATTCTCGTTCACAAGAACGTCGAAGAGCATCATCAAAAGCTTTGTGTAAATTGGAAACTTCAATCAATTCAATCAATTCTGTTTCAAAAATTAATGGTGATTTGGCTTTGAAAGAACGAAATGTAATAAGTTTGAGCGTTGGCGTGAAATCAGCGGATCGTGTCATTAATCCTTCAAATCTCGCACCTCAACAATCTCAACTACTTCAACAACAACAACAACAACAACGAAGTAGGTTGGCGATCTTTAGAAACTTGAATAGAGGAGGATAATTTCATTTTATTATATTTATATTTAATAAACACAATCACACAAGATTTGTTTAATCATATCGTTTATAGAGTTTCTTTAAAATATATATAATATATATACGGATACGAGGGAGGATACGTATTGAAGATGGTATTTTTACGAATATATTATTTGGTTGTGAGAAGAAATCTTTTATTTTAACTTGCACTTCTTTTTTTTTCCTTTTTTTTCCTTTTTTTTTTCGTGTAATTATTTTTTTTTATTTTAAATTGGGAGAATAATTTGCATTATAACGGATGAGATAAAAAAAGGTGGGTGGAATATTAATTTCGAAGAAATATATATATGTCCATATGGTGGTCTACTTTGGTATTCACGCAAAAAAAATTTCAATTTTTATTTTATTTTATTTTTTTTTTTTCCCTCTTTGCTTTTTTAATAGTTGTAACGCTATGTTGTTATGACTATATTGCGTTTTTTATTTTTTCTTTTATTGGTTTCTCTGTTTTTTTTTTTTTTTTTTGAGGAATTGTCTTTTTATATATAAACCAGAAAATTGAAAAAAAACTTATATAATTATATATATCAGAAAAAAAACCGACTTTTTTTTTTATTTAAGAGAACAAAAAAAAAAAGGTCTTTCAAATAATATTTTCAAAAGATATATAAAGATGAGAAGGATTAGTTATTAGTTATTTTAACATATATAGTTCTTTTCTTTTTTTTTTAATATTATTTATTTTTTTCATTTTTTTTTTTTTCCAATTAGTTTCGCTTTTTATCTTTCAAAAAAAATTCATATAGTATACAAGTTTTTTTTCTTCTTTTTTCTCTCTTAAATACAAAGTAAAAAATATTTAAAACATTAAAAATTTTTAAGTCTTGCAAAAAAAATTTTCGGAAGTTTTTTTTTTTTTTTTTGAAATGTTTCGCTAAGATTTGATGAAATTGTATAAAAAATCGAATTTGAGATAATCAAAATAAATACACCGTAGATCTAAAGATCCTGCTGGTGAGATCGTGATCTGTTCGACCAACATAATTTGATCTTCCAAACGTTAATCCTTTTTTTAACATTTCACAACATGTGGTGTTTGATCTTTTGGAATTTTCGAGCGAAATAAATGTGATGTCATTTGATAACATTAAAAATTTGGTTATTTAAAGAGAAAGGATAATAATTGTTATGTATCATTGCATAATTGTTTATACAATTACTTTTTATATATATTTAATTGTTATTTTTTTACTAAAAAAAAATAAGTTTTTTTTTGAATATTATTAATCGTTATACTGTTACAATATTTAGGTATAACGAACCTTATATGTTGTAACCCAAATGATCTTCAGAAAATTAAGAAATGTGACGCAGTAAAGTGATCTGCAAATGATCATCATGTGAGTTGATCTACAAGGATCAATGACACAATAATTGGCAAAAAGATGATCTGCGAAATTAACCAAATCAGTTAATGAAGTAATGAAGTAATAGATCATTAGCCCATGACGAC